TCTGTCTTTGCCCCAGCTTTATCACCTTCGGATTCTGTTCCTGAATCTTTGCCCTCCTTTGAGCCCTTTTTGCCTTTCTTGGCATCTTTCTTTGCCCCAGCTTTATCACCTTCAGATTCTGTTCCTGAATCTTTGCCCTCCTTTGAGCCCTTTTTGCCTTTCATTGCCCCAGCCTTTACACCTTTAGCTTCTTTATCTTTCTGTGCATCTGCCTTAGGTTTTTTTTCTGGTTCTGATTCTGATTTATCCTTCTCTCCTTTAGGAGATGGAGCCGCCTTTGGGGAAGGAGCTGGTTTGGGTGGAGGCTTTCTCCTAGCAGCTAAATAAACAGATGGTCTTTCAGAAATTTTTGTTAAAGACCGATGCATCCATAGTGGTCGTCTACGTTCACGCTTTAGTTTTTCTTCATCGATTACCTGAAGTATTGATTACCATAATAAAGAATAATTTGTGAGTTATATAGAATTTAACAACTGGCAATAATATATTAGCTTCAACCATAAAAATCAATTAACTTATAAAAACATGGATAAATGATAGATTTGGGGCCTTATTTAGTTATGAATTTCATTATTTTTTAAGCTAACGGGTAGTTACATTTTATTTGGGGCCCATTAAAATTTAGGCGGTCTTAATAATTACCTCAAGACTTTGTGTTAACATTCTTAGAGATATCTTCATAATCAGAAGATGCTTTTGATTTTTTTTGCCACTGTCTTTGCTAATAACAAAACATCTTCCATTTCTACATGAATTCAGAAATTATTCAGCCTAATATATAATGAATTCAGAAATTAGTCAGCCTCATATCTAGTCATTTTAGGTTCAAGAATATCTTGATATCTGTCCTTACTGTTAAAGTCTCTGGAAAGAAGAATGATTGCCTATTTAGATAGAAGCCTAAAGTACTTTGTACTTGGGAAAATAGTAGATAACAGAGATGATGAAATCTCTAACATTCAGTATATATCATGCTGTATTTTATTTTCATGTTCTAATGAAATATATGCAGACATATAAAAGATTTTATAGGAATGATACTCAATAGAAAAACAAGATGAGCAAAATAAAGAAGTAAAGAACATCGATCATTACTGATGAGCTTTCTCTCCTAAAACAAACAAGATTTAATGACTTATTTCACGTTAAAATTTTGGTTTATATATTTTTCTACCCCATGGGCATTCCAGAAATATTGTGAGATGTTTGTTATTTAATACGCTGAATCCTGACTTCTACATTATATGAAGTAAGGAAACTTTAAAATTCTCTCAGAGTATAATGAAATTCCATAGTTGTAATCAGGGAGTTACTCCTGATGCTGAACATTTTCTGAGTGTGTCATTAATTGGAAAATAGAGTCTCTTGATTTCAGTGCCTCTGGTGTACATTTTATACAATGAAAGACAACTAAGAAAACAATGTGACATAAATGGTAAAATGAAGTGGAGATAAATATATCGATTTTATCTGAGTAGTAGGATTTGAGTTGCCTTTTTTAAAATTTTATTTATTTATTTATGTGTGTGTGGGGGGCCAGCTCAGCCCACCAGGGGGCAGGGCTGGCTGGCATGTGGTGCTGGGGGATTGAACTGCGGTCCCTGTGCTTTGCTAAGCTTGTTCTAAGGAGGCGCTTTAGACCACTGAGCCATCTCACCAGCCCTTGAGTTGCTTTTTAAGTGTTTCATCAAGTTTGGCATTAAAATAGGACTGCAGAGATACCTCAGCAGCATAAGCACTGGCCTAGAAAACTCAAGGTCCTAAGCTTGGTAATCATTTAAAAAATAAAAAAAGAACAATGTTAAGCCATGTAGTTATATGTAAAAGATGAGCAAGACAATGATCCGAAGAATATTCAGAAGATTCTTTAATCTAGCAGTTAATTGGAAAGATTCTCACCCTGACTAACTATATATACTGATACCTGTGAACTACACTACTGCACTGCAGATGGTAATTTGTAATAGTTTCATTTTGGGAGTGCCTGTCATTGTGGTATTCTGAATATGGGCAGCTTGTCATGACATGCCAGTTACTGCTAAGATGTCTCTCGGGTAGGTGGATGTTCAAGAAGAGGGGGGTGGTGAATGAAAGCAAGAGACAGGAAAAGGAATATTGTGGGACTGTCCTGCTTCAAGGTTATATATGGTGAGATTTTTGGACTTATGGGCAAACATGAGAAGTACAGAATTCTTTATCCTATTTTTAAAATATAATCTAATTTTTAAATGCTTTTTATCATATTATGTAGGGACTTAAAGTTCAACATATCAATACTTGATGAAAAATACCTGTTCCTTATTATGCCTAAGATGTTTGAAATGCAGTGAGATAGTGAGGTTAAGCTTGATAGCCTAAATCGTTTAATAATAACAATAAGCTTGTCTTCTGGATGGTTAACAACCTAAGTTTGCAGACCAAAATTAGAGAAAAAGGAGGGCTACAAGAAAAGCCAACATTTTGGCCCTAACCTTCTAAGGTCAGTTAAGACTCAGGACATATGAGAACTTGTACTGTAACGTCATGTACCTCGGTAGTGTCCCAAATTTTCTGATCAAGAAGATTATGGGGCCAAAGAGGAAAGTGATCGATGATGTAGAGTGTGCCTAAGGAGAGTCACATGGGGAGAAAACACTCTCAGGCTTCACAGAGAGCACATTGGCCAAGCAATGGCCGTGACTCATCCACATGGCTGCACCCGACAAAGGTTCTACAATCTGAGGTACAGGATCTCAGGATAAATCCTGAGGGCATTTCACTGACCTTCTCAGACCAAAAAGCTACAACTCTTGTTGCATAGGTCCTGCTTTGCCTTGGTCTTAACTATCCAGTAGAAAAGTATGAAGACGAAATATAGGAAATAAAGCCATGCTGTTATGTTGAGCTGTGGGGGGACTCAGGTCAATAATTTCTGACATTGCCAGTTAAACAGAAGACCCAATGCTATTATGGGCTACTGGACTCTTTTAGAATATTTTGCTGAGTTTACACACCTATAATATCAATAACGGAACTTAGAAAAAATGGGGTATACCGATGAATGTCCATTTTGTATCTGTGTATTCAAAGTGGTTAGGATAGATATATAGTTGCATTCTCTTAATGAATAGAATGATTTGTTCTAATGGTGTTTGTAAATAGGATCACAAGTCCGCATCTTGTACAGCAATTAACCACTACGAAGAATATATGCAGCGTATTATTTGTTGAAACTGTACTTCCAATTCGATTTGAAACTGTCTCATTGCTATCTGTTTATCAATAAAACTTTGAAAAAAAAATTTAAGAAAAGACAGAAAACAGATTGAAACAAATAAAACAGATAAAACAAAACAAAACATAAACAATATATAACTTTAGTTATATATTGTTTAGCTTTAGTTAACTATACTTTAACTAACTTTAGTTAACTGTACTTAATTTAAAATTCATTTTAAGTATAAATAAAACTGGATTTTACTAGACTTATTTCATGTGTTCATTCTCACTGGACTGCTATAAAATATTTCTGTCATCATAGACATTTTTCAGTCAGCTCTGAGGCATTGTGTGTAACAACTCTGTATGATTGCACATTCTTATTCTTAAATGTAATTAAATATTAATAAAAAATGCATGATTTTTTTGATACAGAGAATGAACTGAAAACCTTATGCTTGCCAGGCAGACACCTATGCTACTGAGTTATCTCCCTGATTCATGATATTTCAGTACTTACAGAAGGTGTATTTTTATTTAGTTGGGAAGGTATTGTTCTTCTTTTTGTTCCTGGCCGTTGTGGTTTGGGAAATGCCAGGGAAAAGTGTTGCTGATTCCATGACTTTTTGCTTAACTCGCTGACTAAAATAAGAGAAACAACACACATTTTAGAGTAAATGGTTAATTTCCTAAGAAGCAGAATGTCACTGAATGCAGTACACATTGTGCAAAGGAATAAAAAGTGTTTCAAGTTAGAGTTTAGTTTTAGGATAATATTTTAAGGTTTTGTCTTCTTTCTTTCTTTAATTCATTCTTTCTTTTTCTTAAGATACAATTTTATTAAGAACAGAAAGGAATTTATTCACTGCTCTTGTCCCCGGTGTACTTAGTACAATGATGTCGCACATAAAATATTTAGTAATTATGGGATTAAGTACTGAGATTTTTGATCCCTTGAGTTAATAACTATTTTCTAAGCTGCAAATGTAAATGTCATAGACCCAAGAATGAGATTGCTATTGGCAATATACAAAGCTTTACAGAATGATTCCTTGGTAAAGTTAGTTTGAAACTATAGCCAAATTGATTAAGAATATTTAAGTTAAAATGAAGCTAATTAAGTATATCATGACTACATTTTAGTATTTTCAGTACTTCTATGTGAAAGTAAAATAAATCCTGTTATTTTTCTAAAGACAATATGTGGATCATGAGGTTAATGTATGGAATGAAAGGCATATAGAACCTCAATATATAAAAGAAAACCAATTGGTAATAGAGTCATTATATTAGACTTGTCTAGAAAAGATGCTTTTGCCCAATCACAATCTGGGCATGATCTATCAAAAATGTAGTAAAGGAAATTGGGTGAGAGATTGTGCAATTCCTATATTTTTTTCTATTGTAAGATTATTTGACTTTATGGCTTCTAACATGACAGTATTTCCACCTGTATTTTACTGATTATATATTCTTATTCTTCATTACATTTAAAACAAAAAAAAATTACAAAGTGTTCTCTGACCCCCTCAGGAACACAATTTGGAAAATAAGGTAATCATCAATTGCATTCTGTGTCAATTCTTTATTGATCATTTGAATGAAAAAAGATAATTTAATTCCAAAATTAATCATTCATATTTTATAATATAAGAATTAAAAGACATTTAATATTCCTTACCTGGAATATAGTTGTCATATGTCCCAAAGTTTACTTTTTGGCTATTAATATAAAAAGGAAAAGTTTTAATTAATTCTGCAAAATTATTCTAATAATCATTGTTATACATTAGAACTTCCCACTGACACCTAGGTAAATAGTTTTTAACACTCAGATCTTTATTTTTTTAATAATTTTATTGAGAAACAAATAGCAATGAAACAGTTTCAAAACCAACTAGTGGGACTAAAGTAGGGATGTATACATAAGTGTTCCAACTTCAACATAATAGACATGATGTAGTCTCATGGAGAAGACTCAGTTGTATCATTTTATTAAATATTGTAATCCAGACTATATTTTACTCTACAGGGAAACAGAAATTTCAAGACTGAAAAGAAATAAGCCATTCCTTATGTTTATAGAGAACATAATTTGAGAGTGGAATGCCCAATGATATCTGCAAAAAAATCAGAGTTGTTAAATTGATGGGATAAATGTACATTCTACAATGTCCAATCGCATTAAATTTTACCTGCCAGAAAAAAAGAGAAGATGTAAATGTAATAAAACATAAAATTTGTAGAGACATAAAAACACATTATAAAGAAGTCTATTGATAGAGTTCAGCTACACGCTAGACCAAATTGAGCTAATAGACAACTATAAAGCATTCTAATTTAATAGCATATAGAGTATTTTCCAAGCCTTAGAATATGATAGGCCCAGAAGAAATATAAGCAGATTTTTAAAAGTGAAAATTTCCTGACAATGCAAAAACAATAAAAACAACAACAACAAAATAAACCCTAGAAATAAATAGTAAGAGAATTTTCTAAGACTATCTTTTTTTTTGTTGTTTTGGCAGAACTGGGAATTGAAGGTAGGCCCTTTTGCTTGCCAGGCAAGTGCTTATTCTACTGAGCAATTTCCCTGACCCCTCTAAGACTATCTGAACACATGGATATTTACTTACTATTCAACAGCTAATAGGTTAAGAAAGAAAACAAATGATTTAAAAAGGTATATTATGTAAGCAAAGCTTTGTAAGTAGGGAGGAGAACATGGTTTGAGGGGAAGAAAGGGTATTGGGGAGAAAAGAGGAATGAAAATATATCATGTATGGGTACAAATTTGCAATGATTGTGATCATTATTTACATTCAAAATGCACTAACAAAATTAATAAAAATTATTTCACAATGAAGTCAATAGTCTATTGAAACAAATGGGAAAACTTGTGAGACACATCAAATTCAGTACAAAGAGGGAAATTTAGGACAGTGGACTCCTACTTCAAAATTTCTGAACGATCTCAAGCAAAATATCTATCTGTGCATTTGAAAATACTAGAAAAGCAAGAAATAGAACTGAAGGGCATTGAATTATAAGAAAGAAGGGAGGTACAAACAGGGAAGCCCAATCGCATGTGGAACAGATGATTGACTTCACAGAAGTGAAGAATGTAATGGTGGCTACAAGAAGCTGAGTTGACTAGAGAGAAGGGAGAAACAGCCATGTTTGGTAAGTGGCTAGCCACATTGGAATAAGAAGTTTTGGTATGCTGTTGTGCATAAAGAGGCTATGGATAAGAGAATGAACTGTTTATTTAAAATGCTAGGCAAAAAGAGTTTAATGTTTTCACCAGATTAAATAACAAGTGTTTCAGGAGAGTGATGTTTAATGTGATATAAAAAATAAATGTTGTTGGGCTAGCTAGATAGCTCAGTGGACCAAGAACCTGCTTAGGCAGGCACAGGGGCCAGGGTTTTATCCCTGGCATCACATGCCAAGCCAGCCCTACCCCCAGGTATGCTGAGTCACTGACCATGTCAGAGCATGGTGGTGCATGCCTGTAATCCCAGCCCTGGAAAGCTTGAAAACAGGAGGATCACTATGAGTCTGAGCTGAATGATGAGATATTGTACAAAATATATAAAAATGAAATAGATAAATATTGTAGACATGTATCAAAATATAATTTTCTTCTTTTAATTGATACTTCAGGATGCTTCAGGATGTTAAAAAAATTAAGATATAGCATTATCTCGGCATGATCGACATAGAACAGATGACTAGTCTCAGAAATGACAAAGATATTCAAAATTGACCTTTAATGACTATTATAAAGAAATAGGCAACACTGCCTATGAAAATCCATTTTATTTTCAAGGTTTATAGCTCATCTTCCCCTTAACATCCCTGTTAAAAGCAATTTCTTCCTTTTTACCTTTCAAAATTCCATTCCTTCATCATTTATCTATGAAAATGTTTACATATTTGGAAGTGTTCTTTTCCCATTTCATTTTAACAAACATAAATGTACAGAAACTATCTTCATCAATCTTCTCATGTCCAAATAACCTATTTTATATTTCAGAAAATTATTGCATACTGTGTATTTTTGCCCTCTGTCTTCATCCATGTTAGTATCCAGCTGGAAAATGGGGCCATAGGGGGCCTGGCCCTAGCTCAGTTGTTTAAGTGGCTGCTTCCACAGAGCTGTCAGCCTCAGGTTGCTGTAGTTTGATCCCCACAACTCAAGCCAGGCAAACTGCCCTGAAGGCATTTGGAGAAAAAAAAAGAGAAAAATCCCTTTTAAAAAAGAGGTCTGGGAGATGGCTCAGTGGAATAAGCACTTCCAAGTGCAAGGGCCTGAGTTCAATCCCCAGTTCCACCAAAAAAATAAAATAAAATTAAAAAGATATATCATAAAAAAAGAAAATGGGGCCATAAAGCATGAATTTGGAAGCTAAAAAATTAAACTTCACAAGGTGCTGATCATGGGGGAGCTTTAGTTTGTTAGGCAAACTGCCCTGAACAATGAATCTCTAAGCAGAGGGAATAGCTTAACCTATGAACTCCTTCCATACAGAATATCAAAATAATAATCATGTGTTGCTTTTATGACTGTTTGTTTTAATTTGTTATGTAACAATAGAAGCCTAACATGCAATCAATATGAGATCCTGTGGCGAGATCCAAATCAAGGGAGATATGATTAATGATTGGCTGGTCTTTACTGTAGGACTTTTCAGTGTTCGATGTTGAACACCCCTACTCATACCCGTTAAAGCTCAGTATCCCTCCTTATTCACCGTGATATATGCATAACCAGCTCCCAGAAATTTCCAAGTATAAGCTAGTGAGATAATCTTCCTTAAGAATTATGAATTCTTTAATTTGCTATGTCCTGGTACACAATATAAAAAGAAATTGCAGAAGGCTTTCAAATCAATTAAAAAAATAACCACCCCAAACCACCATTTTGGTGAAGTAGGCAAACTATGTCTTAGATCAAAATAGCCTATGATGTTGCTCAAGAATGTGGGTCTCTGGTTAAACACTGCCTCTCTTGTGCTTGTGGATGGCATAATAATATTGCAGTAAACATCCTCTCAGAACAAAGAATATAAAGCTAAGTAAAGTATTTGGTAATTTTAAAACAAAAAAGTGACAAAAGAACTTACAATCTTGGTACAGACATTTTTCCCACCTATGACTTGGCCAGGACTTATGCATTGTAAATTCAGATCAGTGATGTAGAGCGATGACATCACAAAGAGGCCAAGAATACTGGGAGTTAAAGGAGAACAACAGCAGAAGTCATTTCTACCTTTTTTTCCACTCTCTGTAATTGACTAAATTTAAGAATAATGGATTGATTTACATATTAGTAAAATACTTCCTTTATTTTTTATATTTTTAATTTATTCAACCTTATAGATAAAAGATAAATCTATTCATTTATCTGTGACTATAATTTATAACTTTAATGTCTCTTATAAAAACATATGTATTATCAAATCAACTGCATAGCTTTCCTTTCTTTGGTTTATTTTATAGTTTACTCATTGATATAAGATTTTAGACAAGTTTAAATGCTTATTAAAGTTATATATTTCAGTTCTGAGTTAATATATATAACAATCCCACCCCACTACTAGATTAATACAAGTACTGTATATAATACATTAAGAGCAGCATAATTTCTGACTCTATTTTTTAAGCTTTTTATTCTGTATCTAATTTAGGATCCTGCAGTAAGATCCAAATCGTGAATGGCCAGACAACAATTATTGTCATTATGCCATCACCTCTGAAATTAATTTTTCATTAGCATTGTTAATTAAATGTAGTCTAGGAAGATCTTGGAGAGCTAATGTTTGTTTTTGTTTTTTTTCATAATGAGTATATGTTAGTTTTCTCTTGCTGCATAACAAATTATCCAATCCTAGTCATAAAAGCAACTCCCAATTATTGTCTTAAAATTCTGTACATCAGAAGCTCCTAAGCTTTTAACTGGTCTCTTTGCACTAAGATTCAGTTTTCAGGGCTTTGGTGCCTTGTGATGCTTAATCTTTCAGCTTCTAAATTCATGTCTTATTGCTCCATTTTCCATGTGGATACAAACTTGGATGAAGGCAGACGATAAATAGCTAGAGCAACTATCTCCAATACTTCTATTATTGGAGCATTCATTCAGTCTGAGTACATTACTTTATAACTGATCACTTCACAAAAATTTGTGGCAATAAAATATAAACTGAAGAAACGATCATTCAAATTTTGGAGAAAACATTGATGCAAACTATAGTTTTCTAAAAGTCCAAGTCTTTCTCACCTAAAATCAGCATTTGTCCCATCCTATTTCCTTCTCAATTTCTTAATTCATTTTAGAATTACCATTGCCATTAGTATAAATATAAAATTTCCTTGAAATATTATCTAAATTATGTATGAATGAGACTCAAAGTGTGATTAAACTCAAGGCAGAGTTCATCCACCAGTGAAATGATATCAAAAAAATAATGAATTTTAAAAATAGAACAATGGAACTAGGATAAAATATATAACCATGTTGCAAAAGGGAGAATAGGAAACAAGAAAGGAATAATTGGTGCCAAGTAAAGCCAAAACACAACAATATAGGCATTACATCTTAAAACTTGACAATTATTTTGCTTGCATCCATGTTTAATCTTTCCGAATAGTTGAGCAAGAGTTCAACACTCATGATCTTGGAGACCTTATACTGGTGGTTTGGTCACAGCTAATAGAGCAGTTTGTTCTTTTTTTTTTTTTTCTTTTTGGCTAGCTCAAGTTGCCTTAAGGGCATGTCTGGTGTGGCATGTGGTGCTTGGGATTAAACCTCAGTCCCCTGTCTCTGACTGATTTTGCCCAAGCAGGCGCTTTAGACAATTGAGCTACCCCAGTAGACCTTTTTAAAAATTCTTTTTCTTTTTATTTTTTTAACACAGTAGTTTGTATGTATCGCCTTTGCGTACTAACACCTCTACAAGAGTACTAACACCTCTACAAGGATGGACTGCACTCCTGTTGCTCCAAGAGAAATTTCTGGGATCTCAGAAATTTCTGCCCTGTCTCTTTAACTCATCATTTCTATAGCTCATTTATTAAGGCAGTTAAGAACGTACAGTACATTGCATACATTGGATAAAGAATTTTAAATGCCCCTAATGTGGAGAAATTGGGCCTATATAATCATATTCTAACCAGAAAATTGCTTAGTTTACTGCTAATGTTATAAATCCACTCTCACTTGGGTAACTATGAACAACCTAAATATATTACTCAGAATTAGAGATATTTCTAGCTCTCTAGTAAAACATATCAAGACGCAGGAGATTGTGTCTAGCAAGAGCTGGTTCCTTATTTATGATGTTTTCTTCTCCAATGGAAAAAGGGAAAAACAACTCCCCTCAAGGTTTCACGAAGGACATAAACCCAATTAATGATGCTTTTATATTGGATGAAACAGCCTCCCAACTCTATTTTTTTAAAATATTTATTTATTTTTATTTATTACATCTATTTATTGTGTGTGTGTGTGTGTGTGGCCAGCTCAGCCCACCAGGGGGCGGGGCTGGCTGGCATGTGGTGCTGGAGGACTGAACCACAGTCCCTGTGATTTGCCAAGCTTGTTTCAAGTAGGTGCTTTAGACCACTGAGCCATCTCTCCAGCCCCCAACTCTATTAAAATAGTGGAGATTAAGTTAGAATACATGAATTTAGGGGTATAGCAACACTCAAACCATAGCACTCCATGCTTGGCCCTACAAAATTATATTCTTCTCATATATAAAGTAGATTTTTTTCATCTCTTTTTACTCAAAAGTTTTGGTCCAGCATCAAATTTAAAGTCTAAATTAAATTCTCATATAAATATCCTCTAAAGAAGATAAGAGAAAACTTAAGGTGTAAGTCTTGAAACAAATTATTCTTGAGCTGTGAATTTTTGGTATCAAACAAGTTTGGATTTTCCCAAATACAATGGTATGACAGGTATAGCTTAGGTATGTCCATTCCAAAATAGAGAAGTGAAAAGGAGACAAAGTGCGATAAATCATGGACAAATTCAAAACGCAGCAGCACAAACATTAAATCTTAAGGTTCTAGAATAAACTTAGCTGGCAGGATGTCGTGCCTCCAGACATACTTGGAATGGGTTTCAGTCCCCAAGACTTCAGGCAAATATGTACCATGGCTTTGCTGTAAAACTTTATGTGTTAGACTTACTTGGCTGCAGTTTTACCAACCTGGAGTTTATTACCCAAGAATCACTGAGGTTGGAGGTCTCTTGAACAGTTCTACTCCTGGGGGACCATTAGGCCAGGGCACCTTGAGTTCTTGGTGGTGTTTAGGTTTTAATATTCATCTTTTTAATTTGGTACTATTTTTTTAAATATGTATCAGAATTACTGTGAGGACTTGTTAAGTACTGACTAATGGGATCTCATTCCAATGCTTCTAATTTAATGATTCTTGAGTAAGGCTTGAAAATTTGCATTTGAAATGAGCTCCCAAATGAAACTGATGTTTCTGGTGAAAGAACTTGAAATTATTGCTTTAATCATACTGCTATAATTTGATGAAACTGGAAATGAAATGATGATTTTTTTTTCTTTGTGTAAGAGATTGCTAGCATAGGGGAATTATTGTTATTATATGTAAATGTGTTAATCAGCTTCATGTTACTATAAAAACATCCTTATGAAGAAAAACAGTTTCATTTTAACTCCTGATTGTGGAGAATTGTGTCCAAGATAGTATGAAATTTTTGCTTGGGGTCTGTAACAGTGGTGCTGGGTCATTCTGAGGGGAACATACAGTGAAACAAATTGCTCACATCAGAGAAATAAGGAACAGGGAAGATGACAGCGCAAGCTGCCTTATGATCCCTTGCCAGGACATACCCCTTGGTGCTGTGGCCTCCCACCCTGTGCAACATCCCCATTAAGTCATTAAGGGACAAAACTTTCAAGGCATAGGCTTTTGGAGAACATTTATCTATAACAATAAATATACATTGATAATTATGTTTGGAAAACAGCCTGTACATTGGCCTGTCTTAAAATGTTTTCCATCTGATTAATTAGGCATCACCTCTTTTAGAGAACCTTATATTAAGTCTTAACATATTGATAGTTGTGTACATATTCTTTTGTTCCAGGGTAATATGCATAAGGTCAAATTCCTAATAGAGTTCTCATGTTTATTTGAAACCTCATGAATCTGGCCTGTACTCTCCACATTTTTATTGGGATTCTGCTCTTTTGCACCCAAACTCCACAGTGCCCCTCATCTTTGGCTTTTAGCATTCTAGAGATTCATTTACCTCCATCTCCAAACCTTTCTACATATGTCAAAAATCCAAAGGCAGACGAGCCATATTCACAGGTATAGTGACATCTATTATGCCACCTTGGTACTGAATTTTCCATTGATTTACTTGGACAAAATACTTGGTACATGCAACTTGAAGGAAATGTTTAATTTGGATGACGTTTTCAAATATTTCAGTCCATGGACAAATGGTCCTATGGACAACCAAAGGTAGAAACTGCATGGTGAAAAGACATGGTGGGGCAATCTTGTTTAGTTCCTGATCACCAGGGAGTAGAATACAGGGAGTGACAGAGAACAAGAGAAAAGAGATGAATTGTAGTTCTTTTGGGCCATGAAAATAGCTCTGTGGTCTAAGCTCCTGCAAGGCAAGAAGAAGGACCCTGGTTGGATCCCTGGTACCACATGCTGTGCTGGTCCCACCTGGGGCATGTAAAACCTGCCACTAAGACTGATGGCGGCACATGCCTGTAATCCCAGTAGTGGTGAGGTTGAAGCAGGAGGATTACTATGAGTCTGAGCTGCATAGTGAGACCCTGTACCAAATATATAAAATATGTAAAAAGAAATTATAATTCTCAGGTTTACAACTACGTGACTCATTTAGACATTCACAGGAATATACCCTACCAGACTGGTAGCTTTTTTTTTTTTTTTTTTTTTTGTGGTACTGAGGATTGAACTCAGGCCATTGTGCTTGCCAGGGAAGCGCTTATTCTACTGAGCCATCTCCTCGGCCCCTGGTAGCTTTTTCTTAGTGTGACCAAGTTGACAATCAAAATTAGTCTTTATTGAAGATATATATACATCTCTAATGTACCTTCTGATTGTATAACTGAAAGGTAAACATTTTAAATTTGTGCTTACCTGTGAATTTAATGAACTTCA